ATATATATTCACAAAACATGACTGTAGCATGCGTACAAGTGTGTTTTCTCACCAGAGGCAACTTCGATGTTCAAGGCAACAAATGGATACTGATGTCGGTTGTACATATGATAGACTTCGTTCACAAGTTTGGTCACCTGCAAGGTGAGACGAACGAGAATGCAGGTTGGGTGGGAAAATTTCCCCCGTTGCGACTTCTCCTCCGGGCCCCGGCAACAAATCCGTTACAAACCTTTTGGGGATCACACGGTCGCTTGTTTATAAAAAAGAATTGCCTGTCCGTGGCGCTTCTTCCCACTCCGTGCTCCGCTTGTGACACGAACCCTGTGATGCTGCCAAAAAATGTCTTAATTGTTAATAGAAAAAGCACAAGATGCCCAACAGTGTTACTCACTTGAAGAGCTTTTGGGGGAGTTCCGCATTCTGAAGTCCATATTCTTCCAAGACCTTCTCATTAGGAGGCACATGCTGAAAGGGGAGAAGGTTCTGTAGCTGCAGAAAGAAAGAAAGTTCAACAAGTCCGACTTCCGAGAGGGATGAGTGCTGCCAAATCCTATTTTCCCCCAACCTGTTTCGGCCCAAATATAGCTCCTATGTTGTCTCTCATATTGTGGCTCCCGCTTGTGCTAACAACTGTGTTGCGCTTCCCTTGTCCATTTTGGTTGGAGCAGGTGAGACGCACTCCGGTGGAGATGATGCAATAGGACTGCAAAACGTGCACCATTTTGGTGAACTCCTGTCGGGTGAACGACAAATCCATTAGCCTGAAGTCACTCGACGTCCACCTCGGCGGAGGCCCCGCTCCCATATTATTGCGTCGTGCGAGAGAGTGACGTGAAAGCAATATAGAACTGGCCTTCTTAATATTGCGCTGGAACTCCTTGTGTCTGACGGGCAAGGTTAGGAAGAGCTGCTGCAGGCTAACCGTGGTACCTTGCTGTCGTGGATGGGGGAGCCGCTCAACCAAGTGGCCTTTGTGATCAAAGACCAGCTTGGTCCCCACGGGGCTGGACTCATGGCACGTCACCACGCTGAGGTCACTGGAGAGAGAATGACAGAGGGATAATGATACTCGCTGAGGACATTAAAGAACAGTTTCTCAAGGTGGGTCGCACATTTGTTGCATTTATTTTTTTTTTACCTGAGAGCACATAAAGAGCTGAGGGCTTCTCCTCTGAAGCCAAACGTCTCCACGTGGATAAGATCGGAAAAGTCCCTCAATTTTGAAGTATGATGTTTTAACGCTGTGCGACAGTTCAAATGTCATCATTCAAAACATGTTATCAATTAGAAGGGACTGATAAACTCCTAGACGCGTACTCAAGCCTTCAAAGTTGGTCTCCTCGACTCCTTTTCCGTTATCGGATACTTCCACCAGTTCTATTCCGTGCTCCTTCAGCTTGACATCTGGAAAATTTAGTTGAGTTCCACTGAGCAATGTGGTGAAGGGGCTGAATGCGTACAATTTCAAGTAACTGTTCTTCTACATAATCACAGAGTGTGAGTGATTTTACCAACCCTGATCCTTTTCTTACCAATGTGGGTGGCCCCAGCATCTATGCTGTTCTCCACCAGTTCTTTAACAGCAGTGGCCAAGGTCAGCACAACCTGCCCCGAGCAGATCTGATGCACCGAGTGCTTGTCAATTGCCCTGATGGCTCCAGCAGGATCCGAACTACCAAAACAGGCAATTACAACGACTGCACTTTTTTTGTTTTTGCTTCTTCTTACTTCAAAATCAAAAATCAACTCACCATGTGTCAGTCATCTTTCAGGAAATGTTATAACTATTTAGCCACTACTAGTACGGCCAGAGGTTGTAATGCTAAATAGAAAAGTGTTAATTCGTAAAACGCAGCGCAGAGGAGATGAAATTATGTTGCCATTATCGACTTTATTTTTTTTACTCAGCTTTCAATGATAAAACAGCCAAACTTAAGTTAGCCATGATGTTGTAAACAAACAAAAAACGAGCTCTCAAAACGTACCGCGCAGTGTACAAGAACCGTTGCAAGGAATCACTACTGCGTATTATTTGCGCATTGAAACAAATGAATAATAAGAGGATGAAGCCGTGGTAGAAAATAATGTAATAATTCACCGAACTAAAAGAATGAAAATATAAGATCAAAATGTTTTAATTCATATCTACATGTAACGGCACGACACCTTCCGCGTGCCGGAAATGGACTATTGTAAAAAGTCACTATTGCGTAAAATCTTGCATTTTGAAAGCGCATGTACTGTACCACGATTAGAGGGAAAAATATTAATAAAAAACATGTCCATCATTTCATATCAAAATATGAAAACTGAAATAAAACTACTGTACTACATAAATAAATCAAATCAATTTTTTACCTTTGAGTGTAATGTTTCATCACTGCGTTGCTAACTTTGGCTGGGTGTGCTTTTAGGGTGCACGTACGTACGTAACTGCCACAGTGGTGAACATACAAATAAAGTGTTGTCAAAGGGAGCTATGTATTATTTTGGAAATGTATTTAAATGTACATTTATCCATTCAAAATCATATGTACTTGCTTTCGAGTTTCATATTTTTAATGAAACCAAATTATATTTTACAGCGATAAGTTGTATTGGTGGACGGTCCCTTCATTCAAGTCGGAGGAAAGATGGCCGCCGACATGGAGTGCAACTCGTGAGAGTTTCTACCTGATTTTAGAAATATGCAGCCAAGTTCGTTTTAACCAAGGCAGGTTAGCCTCTGCTCACTTTAATTCCGATCCTAGGTGATTTATTATGGCCAGTTAACATGTACAGTTTAACCTCCGCCAGCAGGCTCTTGCGATCGGAGGAATGTTCTAGTAGCAGTAACAAGCTTGTCGTTCCCCGAAGCCATCTGCTTAAAGCCGTTAGTAATCATGACTGCAGTAGCCTGCCAAGTCTTGCCACCGAAGAGGACGATGAAGTACACTTTGACAGTAAGCAGCTTTTCTTCTTAATTGTTTGTCCTATGTAACGTTGACACGCGTAAAGACAGCAGGAGGTGACTATTCAGTACAGTACTAGCTTAACGCGTTAGACGGTAGTCGACCTCTGGGTTTGACATGCAAAACATGCACATTGCTAGCAAAAGCCCCACCACGACCTTATTTCGGAGACTTGATTAATTGCTCTATCCTGAGTTGTTTATCACATCTACAATGGATGTAAATACCACGAAATAAAACTGAAATTCGGAACGTTTGTCTCAATGTTTTGAACCGAAACCCAAATATGTCTTCCGTATGCAACAAAAACAAAGGAAATGACCATGCCCTTCTAATACTTTCGGAGGGGACTGTATATATCTCAGTGCTAAGTTTAGCATTATTATATGTGGGTAGGAGGATGTACAAAAATAATTGGCAATAAAATAATCCCATTGTTTCAGGAGGCTTGAAGAATATATGAATTCTTTTCTAAGACAGACCTTCAAGATGGTTCTGTTAAAATATTATCTCATCCTATGCTGCATCCCTGTCTATGTGAGGTGGAGGTCTGGTGGACACTGGCCCTTCAAGATAAGCATGAAGGCTGTGCACGCCCCCATATGTATCAACTAGATGCGTATATATGCCTTAAAATTGAACAGCATTCTCTTTTGCGCTGCTCTGCTGTCGTTACGGGATCATGGACCAAAAAGAAAAAAACATTGTTGAAATAATAGCTAAAGTCATTGAAGAAGGTAAGAGATTTCAAACTTTGATATAACGTGTGTGTATTTGTTATGCCGGTGAGAGATTGGTCAGTGTCAAATCATGGGTGGCCTTTATATCTGTAGTGTTGCTCTTTTTCAAAGCAGAGTTCCTAAAATAGAAAAAAAAAAGGTCAGTAAGGATGTACGGATAGCTCTGTTTCCAAACGGAGTGCGGTACGAGTCAAAGTACTTGCATTTGAATACTCACAAACGCTTGATAATGTTGTTCTTTCTCTTTTTGAAGACGCTCATATCTGGCTCTCAATCAGTTTTCCCCCCCCATCTCTCCAGCTTCGGACACCGACAGCCACCATGAAGTGCTCATGGCGGGTAGACGCTACCCGTCCGTCCAAGAGTTTGCCTCAGCCATCCCCAACCACCTCCTACTGGGCTCTCTGCTGGAGCACCTGTGCTTTGTTTACGAGAGTAACCCAGCACGCTCGCGGATGCTATTTAAAGGTACGGACTGCAGCGTTGATATGACATGAAATCCTCCTGCCGCCTGAAATTTTGCAATTTTTGTTTTGTTTTGTCTTGCAGTTATTGGCCAGCGCTTGGCTTCTATGAATCTTCTCTCGCCTTTGGCCATAAGCGACGAGTTCAGCACAGTCAGACTCCAACACAACCGGGCCTTCGCCGAGCTGCTAAACGCTGCTAGCTCCTCACTGTACCCACAGGTAAAAGCAAAACTGAAATAAAAAAAAGAAAAATCAAATAAAGTCATCATCAATGTCGTAAATGTTCTTGAGGAGGACTTACTCAATCTCACATTTTTGGGTTTGCCTGAATTATCAATGATTGGTATCAGCAGCCTACCTGATATCTTAAAATAAAATACCGATACCTGGGTATTGATACTTACTTGTCTCAACGTATGGGCTGACATTATCGATCTGGTTGTTTTGTTGAACATCTTTAATGTTACATGTACAGTGGTGTCAACAATTCTAATCGGAATCTATTACATCCATGCATTTCTAGTAGGGCTGAAAGATTTTGAGAAATAATGTGTTGTTTGTGCTCTTTTCTCACTTCGCAGGAACAGCAACAGCTTAACGCCAGCGCACACAATCCTGCAATCAGGTGGAATTTACTTTGACTCATTTAAGTACTTGAAGCATGTCGGAGTGCTACGAAAAGCGTCATACAAATAAAATCCGGGATGATTGTGAAGAATGATCACCTGTTCTAAGTGGCTGTTTGTCCTCCCGCAGGCTGAAGGAAGGGCTGTTTCAAACCCAGACGTCACGTTATCTGAGCGAGTTTGAAGAAGTTGGTCGAATCGGGAAAGGATCTTATGGAAATGTTTATAAGGTGCTTGCTTCCTGCATGTTTTGGGGGGGGGGGTTGGTTAGCTTTGTTCACCAAATTTCTATGACCTGCAACAAAGGTGGTGAACAAACTGGATGGCCAATGCTACGCTGTGAAGAAGATTCTCATTAAAAAAGTTTCCAAAGAGGATTGCATGAAGGTGAGCGGTCAATCGTAATTTTTTTTTTATTTTTTGGGGTGGGGGGGGGTGTTTTCGCGTCCAAATATCAGCTCATCAGTGGGGGTTCCTGCCGACGCTTATGCAATAGGTCCTCAGGGAAGTGAAAGTGCTGTCCAGTTTGCAACACGTCAACATCGTCGGCTATCACACGGCGTGGATGGAACATGTGCAGCCCACCACATGTGAGGACACTCCTGCAATTTTATTTTTTATTTTTTGCTGTTGTTGTTGGTGTGAAAGGGAATGCGGTTGTAACCTCCGGATAAATCTGGAATGGCAAAATTTCTCCCATTGCAGATGGAGAGAATCTCCGACCTGAATTGGCGTCACCTGCTCAAGAGGACATGTAAGACATTTATACTTGCACTTATTTCGAATTTTTTTTCCTGAATGTTGCCATTGCGATCTACCACGCGATTATTTTGTTCAAGGGTCTCTTCCCGTGTTTTTATTTCTTTTCAACAAATAAAAACATTAAACCAAAAGTCTAACTCTGACCATGTATTGTCCCTTTTGTTGCAGTTCTGACGAGGACCCCGACAGCAGTAGCTCAAGTTACTCTGTTGTTTTTGAAAGCCAAAGCCAGCCGCAAGTGACTGGCTCTTCAAACGCCGCTGTGCCCCCGCGTCATGGCCC